GGAGGTTTGGCAGATTTGGTTAATTTAGTTGACCCAATTTTGAAAAAACTCGCGGCATTCGGCGGGCGATAATGGTGATATGGATAAAATGTTGACTAAAGAAAAGTTCTTTTTATATAAATTGGTTACATTAAGTTATCAAAGTAGGAAAAGATTTAAATTTATTGTTCAAATTTATAGCTATTTTTACGTCTCCGGAACATGCGGATTATCAGGAAAATTTTATTTTCCTTAACAAACAGTTAATACTTCTTATACTTCTTTTACGTGCACCTACGTTGGTATGCGAGTTATGATCAAACTTTTACAAACTTAAGCATTTTGCATGCAGCATTCGCCATACTGTATATTAACGTCTGTTGAGTTTATACTGACAGCATTTAGTTTAATTAAATGCACGCTGTCATTATAGGCCTGAAACGTGTCAGCTCACCGCGACGGCCAGGGTCTCCCTTCTCGCCCTCAGGTCCAATTTCACCCTGATCACCGCGTTCGCCGGTCATGCCGTTACGGCCGGTCTCGCCCTTGGGCCCGGGGGGTCCACTCGGACCAACAGGGCCAGCTTCGCCCTGGCTTCCCTTCTCACCTTTCGGACCCATCAAATCTACAAGAAAGACATAAGAGGATGGGATGAAACTGGAGCTCTTTAAAGACCTCAACTATCCAGTTTAGGTAATGCAATGATTTGGTACAGACATGCTTGCAATTTTAACTTAGTACCTATTGCATTTTGTGCTAATTTCTTGTCCACATGCTGCGAACATCCTGTATCTTTGCCCGGCTGTCCTTTGGGCCCTTCTTCGCCATCGATACCAGGTTCACCGCGATCTCCTGGTGGACCAACAGTGTCGATTAGATCCTCTCCAGGTTCTCCAGGCTCGCCTATTTCACCACGATCGCCAGGCTCACCCAGCGGTCCACGTTCGCCCTCAGGACCCTACGAATAGGTGCGGTGTGATTATAATAAGAAGGATGAGTTAAGTGCGTCAACAGGAAGTTTAAACAAGAGGGGACATTTTGTGTATGGGATGGAAAAATAAAACAATGTAAATTTATCCGTTAATTTGGATTCTGGTTGACACCTTCACCGTTAAAATAAGGAGTTTAAGGTTTTTTGATCATCAATAACTGAGTTCCGTTCGTTTTGCTTGCCTAGCCGGTTTTTCCTGCAGAAAATACACTCCAGAACAAGGGAAAAATGTAAAACGTTTGCGAAAAGGTAAGATAAGTATAATTTCAAAAATAATTATTATAGAGCGTAAACATGAGGAAATTCTTGTATGCTTAAGAATCTTCCCAGTTACCTGGCTTGCTTTTGTAGGACCCAGTGCTGCCATAAGATAATTGACTGAAACCTCTCAGAGGGAATAAACGACCAATCCATTTATCCAAAACATTTTGGGCAAGATTTGATCTTATTTTTGGTTCATAGATACTCATTCGGGTTCGTTCGGGCTATCTTTGTGGTCTTAAATGCTCGCGATTATTATGTGGGACGGACAAAATATGTAATGTACTTCTTGGCGTCAGAGCATCTCACTTTGGAGACATGGCGAAATAACATGAAGCACCTGTGAAAGGTAGTACCATTCTTTTGGGAAATACAATGAAAATATGAAAATGATGGTTCTTTATATGAATTGCCAGGCGTCGGGGACATAAAACGTGTTGGGGTAACCCATACAATAGTTCGACAGAGACACTGAAAATGTGTACCATCGCGCCATATGATGTTTGTAGTGGGAGTCAGTTTGGTAAACCTTACAACATCGTCGTTTCCGCATGCACACGTTTTGACCATTTTTTGTTCTATTTAGTTTTTAAAAGGCTTCCTTATGTGCCCGGGTACGACATGCTCCAAAACGTTCTTTTTATATCCAGCGCGGTAGCCGCAATAGGACTCATCCTGACCTTTAATGTTGCGGCGAAGTCCTTTCCTAAAATTCCCAATGCAATTTTTTCAACCTTTAGTTATATAAACACATTTTAATGAAAACCTCATTAAAATTGTGCAGCACATTTAAAATTTTGGAATTTAGTTTTTATTTTCTAACTTTCCAATGCACTAAAAGCATATACCAAGTTTATGATAACTTAAATGAATTTTTCAATTATCATAAACTCAGCATCATTACCTACGTTTCTTAGCAGTTATACAGCAGAAAGATATTCCGAATTTAGGCAGAACTAACCCCAGCTCGAGCCACATTTTTACCCCTGGGTGCAAATTAGATGGACTCTGGTTCGGTTTGAAGGATTGTAACCTCTGCCCCCAAAACCTCTAGTGCGACATTCCAAGCCCTCACTTTTCATATAGTCTGACGAAGAACACGTGATACTTGTTCGAAAATTCACGAGTACAACTCGGTCTTTCGAAGATCTTCTTTCTTTTCATAAAGAAATATCTAAGACAAACGACAGTCCTTCTGGAGTTCTATTCAAAATAGGCTACTATATCGACGCGCAACGTGTTTGTCCGTATTGATGTACTCATCAGACATGCATGATCTCATAGCTTCCTTCTCCGTTAGCCGCAATAGGCACACAGAAGGAACTATGGCCTCAAGGTAACTTTGCTTCATAGCTTATGTGCAGTAGCGAAGAATTTCTATTCCAGCAAACACCTGAGCTCTGGTTGGCAAGATAGGAAGCCACCCATTGAGTCAAAGGACCCAAGCTTTATGCTCTTCAGACAATTGCCGTATCTTTTGCAACATTTTTTGCCGATGGACCTTTCAAATCAGAGTTGGGAAGTTTGCTCTCTGTGCGCATACATGCCCCATTTCATGCTATTTGTCAAACGGCTTCGTATTTTCCTCAGATGCCCGGAAGTGTCACCTTTGAACTACTGAACCAGCCTTTTTATTCTCTCTGTCAGGGGTGCCCGCATAATTTAAATAAAGCAAAGACGCGTATATTTTTCATTCACTTTAAGGCCATCGCAACGGGCCCTTTTCGCTTAAATTTTAGTCCAACTCAAAATTAGTAGCGTTTTATGGCTGATAACAAGCAGAAGCTACCTACGCATTGTTAGTATGAGAGTAAGGTAATCCAACCTGATCAGCATTTAAGATTAGATTGCTAAGACAAGTGCAGTGATGAGTAAAATACTTATTATGATCAGGAGTGCGGAAAGAGAGTTAAGCAGTCCTTGCAGAATTTCCAGGTTAATACTGCGGGTCATTTTGAGCAGTAAAAGTAAAGTTTTTTAATCATACAGTAGAACTTTACTTAATGATGTTCAAATAAGTTTAAAATGGTTCAAATATTGCACAAATTTGCCGTTCTGGTTTCGTTAAACAGATCTTACTAGAAGCATTTCAATGACAGTCGATGCATAAACTATTACCGTGATTTGCAAAAAAGAGCATTTCACTCTAGTTAAAATCGTATCCTATTCCAAATATACAAAGAACATAGGGACTCCATTCTAAAATATTATACTACAAGATTTTAGAGGCACTGAACAACGGAACCTTTACGGAAAGCGTCACGGATCAAGTACACAGGTCCACTCTTACCGATCACAGAATCTAATGTGGAAACAGTAGTTTAAGTAGTGCACCTCATATTTTCCTAGTCTCAGCATTTTTTCCTACGTAAACGATGATTATAGGGGTTTTATGGGTGGGGAATTAGGATAGGCAGGGGAATATGATTTCATACCTGCTATATGCATTTTATTTTATTGTGTTAAGAAATGTTGTTGATTTATATCTGTAGATTTTCCTCATCTGTATTATCGTTTAA